TAGATTTATAAATGTGCAAGATGGATTCTAGCAAGAAAGATTATCTGATATAATACAGTGAACCAATTTTCCTAGCAGTAGATTTAGCAAATGATTGATTCAATATAATCATTCCACTTCATGTCAGTGGTAAATGTGGCAGTCATGCTGACGAAGACATAAAAGGTTCTCTATGGCAATTAAATTAAAGCAGTTTTATTTTGGAGGCATGAAAATTTACAAGCCATTCCTTGTCTCAGTTAATCACAGATTGCAGGTTGTTTTTGAGAACAGCTGCCAGTTTTGCATTGTCAGACCTGTTACTAATACTTTAATCTTAGGATTAAAATTGTTTTATCTGAATTTTGAAGATGATGTTTTCTTACTATTATACATTGATTCCTTTGAAACAGTTTCCTCATCTTTGATGTCTTTATGATAATTTTGGCCAGTGTACCTATTGGCATTTCTTTTGTCTGAATTTCTATAAAGTTTTCTTACTATAATATAATGATGCATTTGGATGAGTTTCCTCATCTTTGTTATCTTTATTACAGCCTTCCTCACATGTATTTCATATTTGTTTATCATTTTTTTGAATTTCTGAAACCTCATTATTATTATTATTATAGATGAATTCAAATTGGTTCCTTTTTTTCCTTTATATCACAACATTTTGGTTATTATACCCTTTGGCCTTCCTCCCCTGTCAGAGTTCTTCATACATATATATTATTAATATTTGTGCTTGGAGTATAATTCATTTTGTCCAAATTTCATTTTTCCAAGAAATAATTTCTCTTGGTTTTTGGTAGCTTAAGAATAAAACCAACTTAAGCTTCCATGGATTTTATCTAGCAGAAATATTTATCCAATTTTCTCAGATGAGCTGTTCTTTCTGCTGTGTCTCTGTTTCAATAGTTCCAACCTTGTCCACTCCAGCTTTCCTCGTGTATTTGATTTGTTATATGCAGTAACCTTAACCTTCCAGAAAAGGTAAAATCTGCTTCTGCCTTCTTATTTGATCCATTGGGATATACTGGTCTCTTTCTTTGACCAATCTCATCTGGTGTCCTTCCAAAGGAATTTCAATTCAGTTCAACATTCCCTCAGAAGAACACTGGACATGACAGGTAGAGGAATGAGGACAGCCAACCTCTGTGGGTTAAACAAAAGATTCTATTAGACATATTGTAATGGCTATTAAATGTGACAGGTAAATAATGAATGCCAGTTGGTATTTAAATTAAAAGGTGCTTCTTCTTAGGATTCAATTCTTTTCAAGACATTGGTGATCAGGACTCTCCACAACTTCACCTTTTATTGATCAAAATAAATTCTAGCCATTTACCATTTCTCTTTGTCCTTGTGCACACAAACTCATTAAATATTTTACTTTCTGCTTCACTTGCATTCAGTATCCAGTGAGTGTTAAATTCTTTAGGCCATCTTTTTACATTGCAGTTAACCAAAGATTCCAGGTAGTCTTTTTTTGATTGTAAGTACGTTTCTTTGTCATTTCTATTTCCTTAAGACTTCCTCCTAACTCATATGTTCTGTCTATAGTATTCTTAGCATCCTTTTGTAGAACCACATCTCTTATCTCAATTTTCCTATACACATGTGAGGATATTGTCTGTTGTGGAGATGAACACACCTCTCCAGAAGATGACATGGACTTGTCCAAATACATAAATAAAGATGCCAAGAATCCTCAGTAGAAGAAGTAAGAAAGTAGAGAAACATCAAGCTTATCTGCCTACTACCTATTTCAGCAAGACTACATCAACTTCAAATGATATACTACTTACTGATGGTGTTATCTTCATTCAAGGCACTGAAGATATAACAGTGGTGACAAGAATTCAAATTCACATGAAAAAAGGTTTGTTTCCTCTTGCTTAGCATAAATAGCTGGCAAAATTCAAAATTCAAGGGAAAAAAATTATTGGTGGATTTTGTGCATTTTCCTAACGCAGTATGGAAGCCAATAAACTTCAAGGTTGTACACCTATTAGGAAAAACAAAAACTTTTCTTCCTAGTTAAGGAACAAACTAAAATACACTATGGAAGAATTGAGGATATTTATTCAGCAACTTTTACAACAAATTCAACAGGAATGGACTAAATAAACAAGAACTGATAAAAGCAATCCTGGGGAAACAAGGAATAAATAATACGTCAATATCGATTTTGCCGGACTCAGTTGCTAACTCAATTAATGAATTTCATTATGTCCCAGAAGAAAACATTACCTTCTTATCATACTTCAGAAGGTACGGGGCCATTTTCAGAGAAGAATGTCAAGGATGGTCAGATGAAAAGGTACACATGCTTTTACTAATATTGCACCCTGCTGAACATGAAAAATATCTGAATTTCATTTTGGCCAAATACTCCAGAAAAAGTGTCATTTAAGGAAACAGTGTCAATATTATCAAAAATCTATGAGGAAAAGAATTCAGTTTTATACACATTGGCAGTGCATGAACCTTAATAAGGACAAAAATGAAGATTTTGTCACATATACCAGTAAAGTCAACCATGAGTGTGAGACATTTAAACTGAATGAATTATCCCCAGATGGATTTAAATGTCTAATTTTTGTTCAAGCAACAATGCAGAAATACATTCTCAAATACTAACAAAACTGGAACAAGATTCAAAGTTAACAATACAGACTGTTGCAGAAAAGTGCCAAAAATTTATCAATTTAAGGCATGATACTATGAAAATCAAGCACAATGACACCTTGAAAATACAAATAGATCCAGAAAAGACAGTAGTAGCAAAAGAAAAAATCTGGAATAAAAATACTGTAAAACTTAACCTATGTCATGACTTCATTTCAGAAAGGACTGTTCATTTAAAACTAAAAAATGTTTTATGTGTGGAAAAACAGGTCATAAAGGAAGCTACAGCAAGTTCAAAAACAAAAGAAATACACAAATTAACTTGCTGAAAGTAGTGCTACCAGCTAAGAAAACTGGAAAGTTCAAATAATAGAAAATTTATGACAGTACAAATGAATAATGCTACAGTGAAATTTCAGTTGGATACAAGTAGCGATATTAAAATTATTGATGAACAAACTGAACAGAATTGGCAAGCCTAACTTGAGAAAATCTGACAAAGTTGCAAGAGGAAGATAAGTTAAGAACTTAATTTTTCTTGGGGAAAATCACATGTAACATTGCCCTTGTGTGCAAAACTAAAAAAGCAGATGTTTATGTATTAAAAAATTCCAACTCAAATTTACTAGGCATCGATTGGCTAGTGTTATTCAACTATGATTTCAAAATGGAATTTTTATTACCAAAGAAATTGGGACACACAGATGGTTTATCCAGGTTGATATCAAATTCTAAAGAAGATTTTGAAGATACTGTGATTGCTTCACTGGAATTCAAAAACGAAATTAAAAGCCTGGTGTGTAACTGTTGTAGCATACCTACGGACAATAATGGGTATGTCCCCATTCACATAAATACAGTAGTAAATACTATATGTTGGTCTGCAGTTGCAGATTCATTGTGGAATTCACTTGATTCACTTCTACCAGTTGACTACTACTTCTATGCACTGCTGGCAAATCTTATATGTGTTGTTCTTATCCTAAGTATTAGCGTTTATTACCAACCTTCTTTTGATTATTCTATGCCTGGCAACAGGAGTCTGCACCATGCTACACAAGCAGGAGAACCCAGTTATACAATTTCTGCAACCACATCATCCCTTACATCTGGCCACCTAACTCCCCAGATTAAAATTCCCTTGGTTATTATGTGTGGAGCACAGTTAAGTGAGAGACCAACAAAACTCCTACTAACACCAAAGATGAACTGAAAGCAGGGATTATGTCAGCATTCACCAACTTAAACAAAGGAGACCATTCAGAAGAGATGCAGGAGAGTCTGAAGATGTCTGCAGGCTGTGGTTGAAGCCAATGGTAATTTTATTGAATAAATTTACTCTTTAGTATTTCAAGATATTTTTATGTAATTTTAGTAAATATATTTGTTAAAATGAGCTGTCAGTTTTATTTTCATTTTTGCATAATTTAAAGTTAGGTTATTTTAATTTTACAAACTGATGCTTGTGAATGCAATACTTCCTGTTCATTATTGTTGATTGGCTTGTATTCTATGGCGTATCAACTCTTTGTAAGTTATTTAAAGCCAGCCAATATTTTTAGATTGTAAGAATTATTTTGGATATAATAATAATTTACTGATTCAAGTCCTATCAATAGCTTAAAGAATAAGTGGATTCATACTCATGGGAAGTAAGATAACTATAGAATGTTTTGGGAGATTGTAAAAAAAAACCCAAAGCACTGCACCCAATATAGATCTGTAGATTCAAATAAGAACATTTCACTATATAATACACTAAAAAACATTTTTGTCAGAATTTTAATGTTTTCAGTGCAAGAGAGATAACTATTTTATCTCCCTTCTACTGGTGACATCAGGTGGTTGTGTCTTTGTTTTGACAATAGTTTGAATGAATAATGCAAAGAAGAGACCACGTCTGTGAAATTTCACAAAGATCAAAAGAAATTAAGGATATGAATGTCTGTAAGCAGAAATAGGAAAAACCATAATTGGAATGAAATATATTTAAAGAGTTAAAATAATAATAACTTGCTGGGTACCACACTTCTCTGAACACACCCATCTCTCAAAGTCAAACACTATTAGAGACACTTGCTTAATCCAAAGAGCCCACCTGTGGTTTATACTGCAACTATGCTGAGCTGACCACAGTTACAGTTTCTGGGAGAAAGTGCATAATCTGGCATAAACATTTTCTTGAACAACGCCAATACGTTCAACCCCTCGGTCACAATAACTCATGAATTCATGCTAGCACATCCATCAACAGCTTCTAAACAGTTCCATCTCCCCAATTTCACTCATTGGTCACATGTGAAAACATTTTAATAACAGTCAGTAGCAAAATGGGTAAAATAGTAAATAAATTATAATCATAATGGGTACAAGAATAAAAAAATTACTTTTGCTTTCCCGTTGAAGAGAGTATGAATAGAAGCAGATTCATTTGTGGCGTTCTTCACACTTATCTCTTCAGGCTGGATCGGAATAATTTTACCATTCTTGTGAAAGAGTTGGATTTCAGTAAGCCCAATTTTCTTTTCATGACCCCAGTTGGTCAAAAGTTCCAGATGGATAGAAATATTGGTTTCACTCTCCTAAAAATAGAGAAAAAATTCACAAAAAAAAAATTACAACATAAAAAGCAATATATATGAGAAGATAAATGTTAGGCAGATAAAAAAAGAAATTAATTTTTTCTTTTAATCATTTATCCATAATCAAGGTGATAGAGTCACCGAGATGCAAGGGGTTAATGAGCATGAAATAAACTGAGAAAATGTTATTGACAAAAGAACAATTAAAGAATAGGATTCAAAAAGACAGAAGATGATGACTGATGTTGCATTCAAATTTCTGAACATTGTAACTGACAGAAAAGTAAGAAGCCAGAAGAGAGTTCCACAGGCAAGAAGTGTGAGAGAAAAAAAACTATTAAAATGGAACTTACAGTTATATTTAGCAATTTCAACATTAAAATGATGAGTACTAGCTATCAATCTAGTACTACATTTACTGCACAGGGAAGCTACATTATGGCAGTGGGAAAATAACTGAAGACATGATGCCAAGTCAGGACCAAATAACATTGAAGATTCATCTTTTGATTTTGTCAAGAATCTGTAGATGAACAGCAGAAGCAACAGACCAGATACTGTAACAATATTCAAAGGTGCATGAGAGATTCTGTGATAAAAAAAAACTGTCTGGTACAACACAGTGAACTAACTTTCCCAGAAGTAGACTTAAAAACTGAATTGAATTCTCTGGAATTATTTATATTAATGAGGTCTGTTGAGAAATTATCTAACTATTTTGACTCTGTTGGGAATCTGGATCCTTTATAAAAGAAGAAATCAACCATACCAACAGCTCATGCAAACATGCCATTTTGCATGTGAGTGTCAACACGAATGAAAACCACCTTTTATGGGTATGCAGTCACTCCCCAGGATACATCCTGACAATCCTTGAAGCTGAGATTGAATTTTATTTAATAACTTTTGTCTCAGTCGAACATATACAACATTTACTATTCTACTTTGTCCTCAATTACCTGATACAACATATATATATATATATATTTTAAAATTCAATACATTTGCTGAATCCCATGGCCCTAATAAGCAGTGTTTCACAAAAAATCAGTCAGGAGATAAGGTGATTGTATTTTTGATTCATTGACTACTGCTCTATTTTTCCATTGGATACTTTGACAAATTCTGCCCAACTTAAACTACATTAAATTCTAGTAATTTTTGTCGTTTGTATTATTGTGTGTGTGTGTGTGTATATATATATATATTATATATATATATATATATACAGAGAGAGAGAGAGAGAGGTTGATTAGGAGTAGGGTTTTATTTCTTTTTTTGTTTTTTTAAACATTTCACCCCAACAAGCTGATAATGCCACTAAGATGCAAGTGGTTACTGGGAGTAAAAACAAGAAAACTTCAGTGAGGAGAAAGGACAATAAAAGAACAGGATTTAAGAAAACAATTGCATTTAAATTTTTGAAGATGTTGGCAAGGAAGCAAGAAATCAAAAGAGAGTTCCACAGGTGAGAAGTGTGGGAAAAGAATCAAACTTATGTTTACATCTAGCTAATTCAACAGTAAAACGAAGTGACCTAGTTGCCAATCAAGTAGTACGCTTAAATTCATGCAGTAAAAGTATCAAGAAAGAAAGTGTATCCAGCCTTTTTGAAAATCTTGAAAACTAGATGTGCAGCTTTGATATAACTTGGCAACAAATAAAAAAAAAACCTCACTACATATATATGAATACTGTCCCATGGTATTAGTCAGCAGTGAGGTACCAGTGAGCTTTTGTATTATGTTTACTATCTTATTCATAATGACCAAGCAAGTAGATCAGTAATGTCCTTTTGGAGAGGGTGGGGAACATAGTAATATATCACATCACATATGTCAATCCCAAAAGAGGAATTAGCAAACAGACTTTGTAATGGAAAATTGGGATAAGTGAGTAAGGTTCCAACTGGAGATCTATGAAAGATACTGAGATGCCATGATTTTAAATAGGTCATCTTATTTTGGTCATATTAACTGTCTGGATATTGTCCAGACAGACTCCATACCAAATGTTTACAAAACTTCTAATAAAAAAGGCTGGATTTATTAAACAAATAATGCAAACATTTCTATAATACATTATGTGAACATGTACACAAGCATGTAGGTCTTGTAGACTCTCCTGTGGAATAGAGAGCCACAACCTCACTACACTATTGGTGTTGGTACTTTGGTTTCTGTAGCAAGTAGTTTTCTATGAGTGGAGTTATTATCCCCATGGCGAATTGGTTTTGAAATAAAAGTTGGTATTTATCTTGAACTGGTTGCCAACTAAGGCCAGAGGGCCTAGTCTGCTCAGCTACTTAACCCATATTTGTGGGGAGAAAAGATAGGTTCATACTTTTCTAAGGGTATCAAGCAGAAGTGAAAACAATGACTTTGGCTGGAATTTGAACTCAACATGATAACTCCACATTCCACATCCATAACCACTATGCCACATTCACATGCAATGTGTGAACATATTTAGTAATTATAGTATTAATAACTGAAAAGTTGATCACATAATACTTATCAATGTTCTGCAAGCTAACTTATGCAAAATATCAACTCCAGATACATGTCAAAAAAGTAAAAGTAGATTTTAGCTAACCTCATGGAAGATTTTGTAATGCAACAAATTACACAGTACTTATATCAATTAACTGCATTACTTAGAATGATTACTTTGCTACTTAAGTAAATGTAAATAAGTTATAATTGGCAATAAAAGTAACAGATGGCTATAAAAAACCACCATTGATTGTTTATAGCTAATTTGTTTAAATAATGCACTATTGTTTGCAATACATAGTAATAATTGTAAGTTAAATGATGCACTAAAATAATTAACCAAGTAATCATTTTTAAATTCTGAATATCAGTGCCAATTTGTAATGAGTGAGTGTTGATCTTGCTACAAGAAAGTAATAATTATTCCCAGGACTAAGAATAAATTAAAATCACTATAGTAACATCAGTCCAAGAAACTGGAATGTGATTATTCAACTAAAAAATCTATAAAATCTTTCAACTGTTTGTTTCACGACTCATTCTATGTGCTGCAAATTGAAAATAACAACAAAAGGACTGTTAATGATTAGGTCTAAAATAATAGAATTTATTGTATTTGTTTCTAATAATTTAATACAAAAGTGAACTGTAAATGATTTTACATGAAGAAATGTACTGCTAATGATTTTACTATAGAAATACATTGAAAACCTGAAAGAAAAGTGTCCTGTACTGATGCAAACATGGAGACAGGAAGATTCATTTTATAGAAGAAATAAGCAGACTATTCGTCACTATTTTTGATCCTGAAGAATACATTTCAGCTTCCTTATCAATTTCACAAAAACTTTCCATTGCTTAATTAAAACAGCATACAGTAATCAAGAATTGAAACCAATTATATTTAACTTGTCTCATAGACAATTTTAAAACAAAGACTGAAAGTAATTACAAAAACCATAATGTCATATAATTAAGATTTGATTAGCAAACAAATGAAGCAACAAAAATCTATCAGTTTCCTTCACTGATAACCAGTTTATTTACAAATATGGTTTTTAAATTTGATTCTTAGAAATATATATATATGTTATATCTCGTACAAGATATAATAAACAAAGTAAACCCGAGTGTGGTTTTCAATAATAATTTTATAATCGGATGTAGGTATGTCAAAATACAGAGACAGCGTAGGAGTAAGCTAACCGCAATGGTGTTAAAAAAATAAGACCTTTTTGTAAGCTCTCTACTGTTTACTGTGGTCATACTTTATCGGCCACCAGAACGTCCATTATCGTGAATGGGGAAGTTGGGTTATCTCATCACAACACCTCCCCCGAAGCTGAAATTCGTCCTTTTGAAAATTTCTGCTTCTAATGTAAATCTTCTTTTCATCCGGACTAAAACACTCCACTGGTTTTCTTTCCCGTGTGCTCCTTCTTTTTAGTCGCCTAATTTGATCCTTTTTGGCGAAGATAATTTCCGCTTTTTTCAGCCCGTGAGGCTGGTCCATGTGATACAGGTTCAAATACACTATTGGGTAGTGTCATGTTAAAAGCATCGATAACACTTCCATCGGAATTTCTTCTTCGCTTTTTTCACTTTCTTCACCATATCGTGGTCTAATCTGATTGATGTGTTTTTTTACGTAAATTTTTTTTTTTAATCGTGTAGACCACTTTACCAATCCTTTTCTGGATTATGCCATCCATCCAATAGCTTTTCCCACTTTTAAAATTTAAAAAAAAAACTTTGTCTCCTGGAGTGTATTTTTTTTTTATGTTGACTTTTTCTCTTTCTTAGCAACTTTTTGCTTTTGATAGGGTAACAATCTATCGAAAATTGATCTAATTTTCCTTGCGAACATAATTTCCGCCGGTGACATTTTTTGCATCGTTGTTCTCATTAGGAGTTACCCTATAGATTGCTAAAAACTTTTGAATAGTTCTTTCTTCAGTGTCCATACCTTTATTTTTCGTAAAGCACGTTTTAAAAGTGTCAACAAATTTCTAAAACGACCGTTCGACCTGGGTTGGCACACTGGTGTAGTTATGTGTTCAATGTCTAAGGCAGTACAGAAATCCTTAAATTCCATACTTTGGAACGCCATACCATTGTCGCTAACTAATGTTCTGGGAACCCCCCGACGACTGAAAATTTCATCCAATGCACTGATGGTGTTCCTAGATGTAGGATGCTTGCACTTGACTACCTCAGGCCATTTCGATAAAGAGACCACCAATATCAAATAATAGTGCCCATTAATTGGTCCAGCATAGTCTATATGTAGACGCGTGGACAGCAAATCCGTTTTCGGCCAAAGATTCATTTTGGCGGAGGTGCCCTTTGCAGCCAATTGACAACCTCTACATAGTCTTACAAAATCTTCAATATCCTTGTCCATTCCCGGCCAGTATATCGTAACCACGCATGAGTGATTTCATCCGAGACATTCCAGGATGACCGGTATGAAATTCTTTCAGCATATCTGTGCGTAGAGATTGA